GATATATTGCTGAACAGTGTTAGGCACTATCCTTACTTTTTTTTCTAAAGAATGATATATTGCTGAACAGTGTTAGGCACTATCCTAACATTTTTTTTTCCAAAGAATATATTGCTGAATAGTGTTAGGCACTATCCTAACTTTTGTTATTCCAAAGACTGATATATATTGTCGAACTGTCCCCATTTCCAAACTTATTAGTTGTTTATTTTAGCGCAAAGCCCAATATTGGTCTATTTATGTTCTGTCCACCGAGAGGAATCGAGTCCTGAATTTTAGCGTCGTTAGTCTGCAAATTTACCATTGACCCAAAGAGGGACTTATAAAACTAAGATCGTAAAGCAAATATTTTACTTCTTCTACGTAACGGGTTTACCGAAGTAAACACTGAGTATCTTCAATCTGCTCGCACTGTTTAACAATATAGAATTCAATTCCTTCATCATTACTTCATTAAAAATATGTAGATAACACAGCGAGGAATCGAATCTCGGATTTTAGAGTTACCGCTGACCCACCTGGGGAAACTGTTTAATCTGAAGCACAAGCCATAAAGGCACAGTGGTATATCTGCGGACTTACATTGCTAGAAGTCGGGTTTCGATACCCGTAGTGGGCAGAGCACAGATAGCCCATTGTGTAGCTTTGTGCTTAACTACGAACAAACAAACAAGACATAAAAAAACAAATTTCGAGGCGAAATCGTAAACTTTATCACAAAGTTATTATCAATTTCTTAGCAATATATCATTATATGCTATCCAAACTGGGGTCTAAAACTGTGTGTTATCTGTTTCTGTTTAGAACCCCTCCTCTACTTTCACTTCATTCGTGTTATAAGGTCTGGACCTTTTACTGTATGAAAGTCATATTCTATACAATTTACCTAACTCGTATACTAACACTAATACTGAGGCGACATTAATTGAACGCCACGATTGAATTTGCTCCTAATTTCACATCCATATTTGTAGATGACTCCTTATGTTATGAATGTCAAAAAGAGATATGAGCTCTTTGTCCTTGATGATGACATTTAAAGTGCTTTGTAAACTAGAACGTTTTATTATTACTTAAATAAAGGAAATTGTAACAAAATGTTTGTTTGTTTGTTTTTGAATTTCGCGCAAAGCTACACGAGGGCTATCTGCGCTAGCCGTCTCT